CTGGCGGGGTCCGGGCTGGCGGGGTCCGGCCTGGCGGGGTCCGGCCTGGCGGGCTGTGGGGGCGTGGACTTGGGGCGCAGCTCCCTGCAGAACCGGGACCCTGTGTCCGTGCTCAGGGTGTCCGTGCTCACGGATGACGAAGCTTTTAACGAATTTGTGGTGTTTTTAGTCAAAAAGATACTCCTTATCTGTTGCGAATCGATAATTTATTTCAGTTTGCAACAGAAATCCAGAAGTTCCCAGTGGGTTAATAATACGCTACGCATGAAAAGAGCATGAAAAGGCGAGTTTCTTGTAGAAAATGGGCCACGGGAATTTTAAGAGAAAAGAAAATTTAAAACTGCTCATAAACATGTGATGTTCAACTTCACCAGTGATTTAAACATTGCAAATTGAAGCAGATTTTTTTTTTTTTTTTGCCATCAGTTTAGCAAAGTTTAAAAATATTAAACAGACTCAGTATGGTAGGGTGTGAATGGCCCAGGCTTTCTGGAAGGTTCTATGGTTTTGTGTTCCGACAGTCTCAGCACAGCGGGTGTTCTCCCGCCAAGGATGCCGCTATGGGAGGGGTTTGCTCCGGGGTCGTGGGGTCGTCAGACAACTGGGCTGTCCCTGCGCGGGGACGTCGGTGGTTATTTGGAAAGTGGCCCACGCGTGGTGCTAAAGGAAAAAGCTGACTATGTATCAGGACATGTAATATAATCACACTTTTATTTTAAAAAATATATATATCTCTATTTCATTTCTTCTATATTTGTAATGTAACTATTTAATATTATTGTAAATGTTATATTTATAGTACACATGTTTATGCTATAAATGTATTTATATTTTATGCATTTTAAGTGTATAAATAAGATTTTACATTTTATTCTATTTTATAGCTTAGGGAAAGAACACTCTAGGAGAATATGTCCTAGGATGGTAATTCTAGATTTCACTTTCTGACTCTTTATGTACTTTACAATTTTGGTTTTTTAAAAATAGCTTTCTTGAACTACAATTCTCAGGCCGCACGATTCGCCCATTTAAGACGTACAATTCGGTGGTTTGGGGTGCGTTCACAGAGTTGTGCAGCCGTCCCCGAGATCAACCCGGAACATTCTCTCCTCCCCAGAAGGAAACGAATTCCCGCCCTTCAGCTGTCACCGTGTCCTGCGGCAGACACGTCCCGTGGGCTGTCCCTGTGGACTCGCACACGCATGTTCACACGGCATCTCCCGCCTCTGGCCCGAGCCCAGGGAACGGGCTGCGCCTGTGGGGTCAGGTGTGGGTTTGGTCCACCGGTTCCTTCTCAGAGATTTTTTAGTTTCCCGGGAAAGATGGGGAGATGCCCCAGTAGCTTCTCCCCGCTTTCTTTTGGGGTGTTTTGCGTTCTTCCAGAAGTTTCTGAACCCCAACACGGGTCGTGGGATGAACCGAGTCGACACGCGTTTGCTTTCCAGGCAGCGCGTCCATCCCGGCACGGAGCGGGGTGTTGGCGCGGGGCGCACTGAGGCAGGCGACACGCCTCCCGGGACCCACTGGGCTGTGCCGGTCGAAGCCAGCCGGTGGGGCTTTGGCTGGAAGGAGCTCGAGGCCAGCGGCGTGTTATCCCTCTGGCCCTAGGCGGCCTCCTGCAGTGTAGACTCTGCACGTGTGCCCAGCGCTGGGGGGTCCCCTCGCAGGCTGGCCCTGAGTGGGTGAGCCCCGTGGCCGTCTCAGCACCGCGTTTGGGGAAGGTGCTCCCCTCAGCCCCCCGGGCGAGCATCTGGGGGCCCCTTAGGGCCTGCCCTGTTGCCGCCCTGTAGGGCCTGCCCTCACCTCCGGGGTGAGGTGGGCCGAACGCGGTTTCTGACTCCGTTTCCTGAGAGATGGCTCCCCTGGCGAGTCCCAGGGCTGCCGGGTGGGGACGGCTGGGGGCTCCACTCGGCCTGGGCCGTTCCGTTCTTGCGCATCTCGGCTGTCCGGGGCTGCAGTTCTGTGCTTACCCGTCTCGGAGGCTCGACTTCCCTCTTGTGGGTGCGCATCCGGGCTGAGGCCCACGGCGGTTTGCGTTCCCGCTGGCCTTCTCCCGAGAGGCCTCGGGGCTGCTGTTTGGAGCTGGGCTCAGCCAGAAAGACCCAGCCCTGGAGGGCCCCGGCCGGTTTCTGGCTCGTCCCAGCTCCACGGTGCTGTGTGTCCCGGCCGGTTTCTGGCTCGTCCCAGCTCCACGGTGCTGTGTGTCGCTGCCCCTGAAAGCTGGCGCGGGGACAGACGGGAAAAACCCGAGTGTCCTGTGAATTATCGTTAAATGTCAGTGTGGGCCCCATTCAGCTGTGCACATGCGTGGACACACCCCCCCACACACACTCCCTCCGTTCCCTCCAGAGTTTCAGGTTTCCCTGAGGTCATGCGTGGGCGTCACGGTGTTTTTAAGGCTGTCAGTAGCAGAGAGACCCAGTGGGGGCCGAGGGACTCAGCGTGTCGTGCCGGGAGTGGCCAGGACTGGAGCCGTCGGACGCAGGCGGGTCAGGTAGCCTCGCGTGAGCCCAGAGAGGAGACGCCACACGAGAGAGTCTGTTTATTTTTCTATTTATTTATTTATTTATTTTGAGACAGAGTCTCGCTTTGTTGCCCAGGCTAGAGTGAGTGCCGTGGCGTCAGCCTAGCTCACAGCAACCTCAGATTCCTGGGCTCAAGCGATCCTCCTGCCTCAGCCTCCCGAGTAGCTGGGACTACAGGCATGCGCCACCATGCCCGGCTAATTTTTTTTCTATATATATTAGTTGGCCAATTAATTTCTTTCTATTTATAGTAGAGATGGGTTCTCGCTCTTGCTCAGGCTGGTTTTGAACTCCTGACCTTGAGCAATCCGCCCGCCTCGGCCTCCCAGAGAGCTAGGATTACAGGCGTAAGCCACCGCGCCCGGCCTGAGAGAGTCTGTTTAAAAGAAATGTGATTTTATAATAAGGGTGTGTTCTTTTCTTAGAGTTGAGGTCTCACTCCACCACCTAGGCTGGAGTGCAGTGGCTGTTCACGGGCAGGATCACAGCTCGCTGCAGACTTGCACCCCTGGGCTCAAGCGAGCCTCCCGCTCCAGCCTCCCGGGTAGCTGGGACTGCAGGTGCCACCGCTGCACCCGGCTAACGCTGTCACACTAGGACGCTGTCGCTGGGAAGTCTATGGGCATTCTGCTTCCATCAGGAGACAAAGTGATGTTCCCTGTTGCGTGTAAATGCAGACTTCTCCGTTTCCAGGATGCTCAGAAAACAAGCTAAGCATTTCAGGTCTCCCTTGGAAGACTTCGTTTTCATTACAGAGAAGTGGTTTTCTAGGTAGACTTTACCCGTTCTCTGAGCAAATTATAGAAATTATGAAATCAGTGAGATCCAGATGGAAGCCGTCTGCCCTCGAGGCCGATCTGAGGAGGGAGCCAGGTGCCCGTGGGTCCCTGCTCTGTCCCTTCCCGGCCCAGGGCGCAGCAGAGCCGAGTGTTCCTCTCCTGGTCCCATCCGCATTCCCTGTGGCCCTTGTCACGGGCCCGTTGGACATTTGTCGTCGTGGCGACACAGCTATTCAAACCTTTTGCCCGTTTTAAAATTGCATTGTCATCTTATTATCAAGTTGTAAGAGTTCTTTACGTATTTGGGATACGAGCCCTTCATCGGATAACCGATTCGCAAATACTTTTTTCCAGTCTGTGTTTTCGTTTTCTGCATGGTGTCTTTTAAAGCGTAAACGTTTTTCATTTTGGGTGAAGTCTGATTTGCCAGGTTTTTCTGTTTGTTTGTTTTAGCAGCTGTGCTTTTGGTGTCGTGTCTGAGAGATGTTTACCTAACTCCCGGTTACGGATCTATTTCTACTTTTCCTTCTAAGAGGCTCTCGGTTGCAGCCTGGCATCGAGGCGTGTACTCGTTGGAGTGAATTCCGTGTGCGGGTGAAGTCAGTGCCCACAGCCGCCCTGCCCGGCGTGGAGACAGCCCTCAGCCGTCCCCAGCCCCGTCCTGCCGCTTCTGACCAGAGGAGAGCCGCCGCTTTCCTTCCCACACGAATGACTTGCGCGTTTCCCACATTGGCCTCGGCTATACACGTGCACAGGTTCCCTCACGTCTCCTGTTCCCAGGGGTGTGTGAGCTGCAGTCACCACTCGGCTTCCCGAGCAGCTAAGCGTGTCCCCTGTGGTGTCATTTGGCGCCACGCACCGGCCTGTCCTCCCTGCACGGCCGCCACCGAGAGCAACAGGGAGGTTTGTTTGACAGCAAATCCCACGGGCTCTGCGCCTCCCGCCTAGGGCTCGCCGTTCACTTTTAGTCTCCATCTGTGTCGTGCCGCGTCCGTGGGTGACTCACACGTGGGCGGGATGACCCGGGCGCCCTGCACACGGGGTCGGCGGGGATGGCAGAGCGGTCAGGACCTTGCGCCAGATTTCTGGGGAAAAGCAGCGATGTGAGAAGCTGGAACCCTGTGTTTCGCTTTCGTGCACAGAGCGAGCAACCGCCTACCCCACCCCGCCCACCTGCAGAACATCACGGGGGGCCTGGAGCGTGTGTGCCGAACTTGAGCACACACGGCACAAACCGTGTCGTTCACGGCCACCGCCGGCGTCGAGGTGTCCAGTTTTACCGGACTGCCGGCCACGCCTCGTGCAGAAACTCGTTCGCTCAGCCCGAGGGCCCTCGAGCCTCGGGCAGGTCCACGGGGCCGTTTGCGGTCTGCTCGCCGTTTTCGGTCTGTTCGCCATTTGTGGTCTGCTCGGCGCTGGTCCGGTTCCACCCCCGCTGGGGAGCTGCGATTTCACGGCTCACACGTGAGCTGCAGTGCGGTGTGTTTTTATGGCGTGTGTCAAAATAACACGCGTGTGCCTGCGGCCCGCGCCCTAACGCTGTGCCTCTGCTTGTCTGTGCAGCCCCTTCTACGGAGAAGACTTCTACTGCGAGATTCCTCGGAGCTTCCGGCACCTGTCGTTCTACCTGTTCGATAGAGACGTCTTCCGGAGGGACTCCATCATAGGTGGGTGCCGGCGGGCGCGCCTGACCTCTCTGCCCCTCCCGCGCGGGTCTCGCCCTGGCAGAGGCGGCGTCTGCCCCACGCGCCCCGTCCCGTGCTGCCTCGGAAGGGATGTCGGCCTTTCGGTCTAGACCAGGGGTCCTCAGACTTTTTAAACGGGGCCAGGTCACTGTCCCTCAGACCGTCGGATGGCCGGACTACAGTTTTAAGAAAACCGTGAACAAATTCCTATGCACACTGCACACATCTTATTTTGAAGTAACAAAACAAACGGGCAAAATCACCCGCATGTGGCCTGCGGGCCGTAGTCTGGGGACGCCTGGTCTAGAGCCTCCCCAGCCGCGGCGCGTGTCCATGACTTTCGGCTTCTCCTCCGCCACACGGGGCGACCACGCGGGTCGCATGGCCCTTGTGAGCGACTCACGGCACTGCTGCCCCGTCCCACTGCCGACGCACTGCGGCGCAGCCACCCGCTGGCGGCCGTCTGGGCCGTCTCTCATTCTCAGGGTTGTGAATGAGGCGACTGAAAACAGCCTCCCTTAGGCCTGTGTGCTGGCAGGCGTTCGTCTGTCGCTCCCGGATACCCCTGGGGGTAAGACTGCTGGGTCATGCACGCTCA